TCTGTTTTCCCACTGCGCTGACTCTCTGTTTAAAGCTGCAGATCAACCGTCCTGCTGAGTTTCTGCGTATATGTTATTATAGTTATCCCTATAATAGAAATATTAATAATACAACAGACATGATTAAATGTTTTAAATGATTTAATATAGCTGCCTTGTGTGTGTAGGTCTATGTTGTTCTACCTATCTGCTTAATGTTTATTTATGTAAATCCACGGTTAAAATTATTCTTCAGTATGCAGGAACATAACTAAAACTCTGAGGTTTGTTACAAAACAAACTGTTTAAAAATCGGTTTAAAATTAATCAATCTATAGTTATTTAAATTAATCAATCTATGTTTATTTAAATTAATCAATCTATGGTTATTTAAATGATACATAAACCGTAGACTGGAATGTTAGGAGTGGGTGAGCTGCCCTTAGTAAGATGGCCGCCATGCGTGGACGTGGTTCTCCATTGGCTGTAGTTGAGTTTTGAAAAAGAATCAGAGGTGAAGGTGGATTTTATTGTCTGGGACAGATATTTAGTTCTGATGACGGTGAACATGGTGTGAAACCAACTGTGGACCCACATCATTGTTACTAAAACACAAAGATGATTATTAGATTATATAATCCCTCAGATTAAACTGTCTACGTCACTTTGCTATGATACTGAAATAACAGCATCACCTCACTGATCACTTTTTTTAATGAAGGGTAAAAGTGTCGTTTCCTCACGTGCCTCCTCACCCAGAGTGTTTTACTAAATATACGGGGTTCTCACTCAAACAATCACAGTAAAGTGGAAAAACACGGTGATGATGATATTTATTTACAGTCGGTCCTCCAAGGTGCAGTACAAAAATATTTACAAAAAAAAAAAGAAAAAAAGGTAAATTACTGTTCAGATAGAGTAAAAGTTCCACTATAAAAACAACAGAAACACAGCAGCAATAAAAAAATCAGTTCAGCAGTAACTCTCCATAAAACAAACTCAAAAAGAGAGAGGCCAACCAAGCCTTATCAGACTGGGAGGGGCTGGCCTAACCACTAGCCCCTCCAAGTGGGCGTTATCATTTACATAAGTTTGGAAAAAAAACTCATTTATTCACATTTTTACTGTTTTTAACCTTTTTTCTGAAAGTTTTTATCATTTTAACAAAGTTTTTACACAAATCAACGGAGCTTTAATTTTTAGGGATTCATGACAAACAACAACAGAATTAATTTTTCTTCCATCATGTGACCACTTTGACCCTCCATACACACCCATTTAACACCCGGAAATCACGGGCTCTGTTTCCGCATTTGGAAACATGATCCGGTACGACGGCGGGAACGACACACCTTCGGCAGGTAAGTGAAGGGATGAATATTTCTGTGTGTGAGTGAATGTTGAAGTGAAGGGATGAATATCTGTGTGTGAGTGAATGTTGAAGTGAGAGATCTCCAGGTGGGAAACTTAAGCTGCTCTTTGATCCAACAGAGGAGGAAGAATCGACGAAGTTTATCAGGTAAGTAGAGCCGCTGGAGGAGAGGGAAATGTTTGGCGCCTAAGTGTGTGTGCGCGCGCGCGAGGACTAAAGGCTAACGGCTAACTAATAAAGGCTAACTCAGGCTAATGTCGTTCGTCAGGCTAACAGCAAACTCTGTCCTCAGGAGAGTCCGGACGGTAACAGACCTTTGGACCGGTTCTGTGAGCTGTGGACCTGCAGAGCTGGAAGATGTTTACTGACTGGGAGGACCGGACCTTTCTGGACCTTTCTGGACCTTTGTGGACCTTTTGTGGACCGGGACAGACCTTGTGTTTGGGCTGAGGTACCAGTTTTATTGTGGCTCTGCTGAAACAGAAGTTAAACAACATTTATCGTCTTTAAAAAGGTCTAAGGTGGTTTTTTTGGACAGTTTGGGCTCTTATTTTACAGTTTAATGTGTATAAACTGAGTTTTAAACAACAAACATTAAAGTTAAAGTTCTAACATTAGTTATAATTAATTTTTGATTTTATTTCTGATTTATTTGTGTTTCATTTTCTGACTGTTTGGTGGTGAAGGTTCTTGAATTCACAGAAGAGAAGCTGTTAGAAACACTTCATTTTTAATTTTATCTCCGCTGTTTAAAGTTTATTTAGAGTTTTATTTAAAAAAGATTAAAATAAGTTTAAAACCTGTTTTAATCCTGGTGTGGTACACATTAAATGTAGACATTTTAATGACTGAAGACTTCAGTGTTTATTTTAATGATATTTAAGGTTTGAATGGAGAGAAGAATTCATGAGTCAGGACTCGTCTGTCCGGGTCTCCGTGGTTCTGAACTTTGTTCTTCATGTTTGTAAAAATGTAAAATCCACAAAATTTAAACTCTTAATCTAAACTATGTTAAACTAAACTTAGTTTGAAGTGTGTTGTTGACGGACTTTAGCGATTTACACAGACGTAGACAGAGAGCTAAAAACAGCGCCGCCGCTCTGCGGGGGAAACGGTCATCCTACAACCTGTGTGACTAAATAATCAATCAATCAATCAATCAATCTTTATTCTAAAAGTTTATTTATAACACGAACATCCCCGATATCCGAGATCACTCAGCATGAAGGTGTGAATCTCTAAACGTCATATTTAAAACCATATAATTTAGTTTGACCTGTTTTGATGTGAAAAAGATGTTTAAATGATTCATAAATCAGATTATTGAGGTATTTTGTTGAGGTGAAAGTGTTGCTTAGATTGATAAATGTTTCCTCTGCAGTTATTCTGATATTTTTGATCAAATCAGTCTTATTATTGCGGTTTATCATATTCTTATAGTAAACGGTTTAAAGGGCAGGTCCACTGTTCTCTAACATCCTGTTAATTTATATTAATTCATGTGTCTAAATTAATGAGAAGAAGTTCTCAACAGCTCAGTATCTGAAGGGTTAAACTCTTTAAAACAGACGAACGTTAAAGAAAGGAGAAACCATGAGGAGTGGACTTTATTTCAGAAACACTCATCAGACCTTCTGACACGGATATTAGAGGAACATTTAATATTTGAGTGTTTTTGGTTTGTAATAAAGAGTAAATTCAGGAAGTAAATGGACGGCTCAGGTCTCCATCTTCTGGACTTTTCTCCGGTGTTGAATTGAGAGGAGCTGCGACACCAGCTGAACACTCAGAGAGTTAAAGAAAACCTCCTCTGACCGACGACGGGGAGCAGGAGCGCGTGATGATGTGTCACACTGTGATTGGCTGTATGTCGGACAGTTTAATGCTACAGTTTGTCCTCGTGGGTTTGGAGACTGAAAAGTCTGAACTGACGCGAATGTTCTCACCAGGATAACCAATCAGCATGGAGATAACCCGGTGACACGAGTCAACGACCGACCTGCAGAGATTCACTCATGAGGAGGACGGAGGATTAACCATGGAGACAGTCTGAGACCACCTGAGCTGGTCTGAGACTCTGAGACAGACAGCAGGTCCCCGTCCACAGAGGACGCCATCCTACACCGCCATGTTTGGACGTGTCAGGAGGAGGTGAAAGGGTTAAAGTCTGGACTGATGACCAATCACAGCAGCTTCACTCTGAACACATGACTCCTCCCACTCTGTTAGATTCACTCAGTCCTCTTCAGGGTGTCGGTCCTGCGGTCTTCAGCAGGTCTTTCCTCATGGTCCGGGTTCTTCCTCCTCTCTGCTGGAGAACAATGAAGTCATTCTGTCTCTGATTGGTTCCTGCTGCTCAGTGAAGCAGATGTTTCCGTGATGAGCAGCAGGTTTCTAATGGTCAGCACGTGTCTTTGAGCGGCGTTCAGGGAGCGTGGGAAAGATCTGCTGCAGAGTCTGAACAGAGTCTGATAACAGGTCGACGTTGGTCTGAACTAAAGGGGGACCTCTCCACAGTCCTGCTGCAGCTGATCAGGACCGATCAGAGTGACCACCTGAGAGGAAGTTTAACGTCGGCGTCTGTCGGACTTTTCCTAAAGTCTGGAGTAAAGAGAAAAAGTCTTTTTTCAACCCCGCTGTGATCTTTATTAGGATATTAAAACATGACCTGAATCTGAGTCTCTGCTGAAGTCTTGAGGACAGTTAACCTGCTCTGATCTGTTAGTCGACTGTCTTCTGTCTGTCTCAGAGACAGTTTTAGTTTTTATTGTTCTGGACATTACCGTGGAAACAGATGAACACAGAACTCGTGTTTTAGTCGACATCATCCTTCTTAGAACTGAAACACGTCTTCATCTTCGGTGGTTTTCTCTGTTCGTGTCTCTTTTACAATCGTTGACATTGTTGGACAGATATAATTTATTGATCCCAAACTGTGAAATTCACATGTTACAGCAGCAAAAATATAAAGTAAAATTAACTATAAGAAAGAAGTAAATACAAGACAGACTAAAAATACTAAATATACTAAATATTAAACATCTTAGGAGACCACAGTGAGATATGAAGAAGGTGGGCTTTTGAAATGAGTAATAAATATGAAATATTACAGACGGGATGATAAACAGACAGTTTGAGGCGCTCAGTAATGGGATGTGGGAGGAGTTTTAAAAATGGACTGACAGCAGACAGACGTGAGTCCCTGTCGACAGATGAGAGTCGTTGTTTCCGGTGTTGTGCTGAGAATTGCGTCCACTGACCTCGCAGAAACGCACGCCGCTGATAGTCGAGACAGTCATGAGGAATGTTCACATTCTCGGCGTTTCTCGGGTCAACACCGGCAGCGCCAGCGACTCCCTCCATGTGCAGGAGTTGTGTCTGATTGGTTAACTGAGTAAAGAACGAGTGTGATTGGTGGATCGCTGCAGAGTCACATGTCAGTTTATGTCAGTCAGTTAAACTTGAAGTTAGACGAGGTCATTCTCCTCCGACATCGCAGGCTCTGACATGTGACTATCACACACACACGTACATCGCCATGACGACACTCTAACGATATATCGTGCAGGCCTATTGGACGTAGAGAAGGTCCTCAGAGTCCCAGGATCTGAAGGCGCCCCCCCTCTTCAGAGGAACCATCGAGTTCCTGATGTTACAAACGAACATCCTGTAAGAGGAACTCTGAGTGACCGAGGAGCGCTGTGATTGGTCCAGAAGAGACTGAATGTAGTGATTCAGTCCAGAACCTCCAAACCCGGATTTGATGTTCCTCCATAAGCTTGGAGAAAATCCCAGAACCAGCCGGTTCTGGTCTGACGGTCCTGGAGAAAAGCATCAACAAACAGAGAGGAAATGAAGTCCAGGTTCTTCTTCTGAGGAGGTACCGGACTGTTTATGGACCTCAGAGGAAGAACCTCAAACAGAACCAAACACTCTTGATTTAGACAGACCCACCTCACAACAAGAGCCGGTCCAGACCAGAACCTAAAGACCGGATCAGACTGAGTTACAGTGGAGGAGGCAGAAACCTGGAGCAGGACCAGACTGAGGTTCGAGACTGAGACCGTGTTCATGTGTTCATCTCATTCACTCCCTCACAGAATCATCCTCCTGAGTCTGATACGAAGGCTGACGGCGGCGGCGGCGGCGGCAGCTGCAGGACGTGTGTTTTTGATTTCCCCGACACCTGGAACAGAGACTCATCTGACCGCAATCACGGCGAAGGAAACGGCGAGGTTGTTTGGCGTCCTGGCTTCAGTCAAACGCTCGCTCTGAGCCGTCCTCGATGTTCTGCAAGAGCTGCTGCTGCTGCTGCAGAGATAAACATTTCAATTAGAGGAGAAGAAGAAGAAGAGCGGGGGGGGCGGGGTCATTTAATATGGCTGATGTGGCGAGGAGAGGACAGCTGGGACGGTTGCTTTGGCTTCACTGAGCTTCAGCGGACAGAGCTGCACCCCCCCACCCACCCACCCACCGGACAGGCGGGCCGTGGGTGGGTGCAGCACTGGGTGGCAGGACGCTGCTGCTGCTGCTGTGACGCCTCGAGGCGCTGGCGTGCTGCACGGCGAGGAAAGAAAAACAGATGTTGACAATCAGCTCTTTTTTCTCCGCTCAGTGAGAGAGGAGGCGGGGGAGGCGCTCCGATTCAGGAGAACTTAGGGAGAAATTAGAGAAACGTGTCGCTGCGGCCTCTGATCGTACATTTACGATCAATTTATTACCGTAATTACTGTAAAAGACGGACACAAACATATTCAAAGTGAGGACAAACTAACTGGGTGGGGACTCTGCAGATGTTTCTATGGACACGAGGAGCAGAGGAGAAGAGGAGGAGGAGAAGAGGAGGAGGAGCAGAGGAGAGGAGGAGGAGAGGAGAAGATGAAGATGAAGAGGAGGAGAGGAGGAGAGGAGAAGAGGAGGAGGAGAGGAGGAGGAGGAGGAGATGAAGATGAAGAGGAGAAGAGGAGGAGGAGGAGAGGAGAAGATGAAGAGGAGAGGAGGAGGAGGAGGAGCAGAAAAGTTGTAGAGGAAATTACAAACCTTAAAATCTGTCCTCATAGTAAAGGTTTTAGCGTTCTCACTGTTTTTCTGATCTATTAAATCTATTTCGTCTCCATGGAAACAGATTTACTGTGTTTTTATAAATTTGTGTCTCCATCTTAAAGTCCGTCGTCTCTGCTCTTAATTCAGTTTAAATCAAAGGAGCTCAGATACTGGCGTTAAAGTCAGATCAATAAACTCATGGATCAATAAACACATGGATCAATAAACACATGGATCAATAAACACATGGATCAGTATAGATCAACACGTTTCCTGGTCTGTTTTTTTTCAGCTCCTTCAGACGAGGAAACAAAGATTTTCAGGTTTTCGGAGGTTTGAGTTCGTTTCTTAGTTTGTGTTAAAAAAATCACAGACCAGGACCAGACCAGGACCAGAGACGCTTGAACCTTCATGTGATGGAGACCATCTGAACTGGATCCTGGGCCTGGTGTAGACAGTCAGTATTTACCCTCCCCAGTGTTATACTGGTTTATACTGGTGTGATGATATTGAGGTGATTGAACATAAACCAGACTGACTCTACAGACAGTAAACAGAATAAACACTAAACTCTGAGTAAAGAAATAAATGATCAATAAATGAAATAAATGATCAATAAATGAAATAAATGATGATTTCCTTTTTCTTCTGTTTTCTCTCCTGCAGGATCTGAACTGCTGCAGAGTTTCAGTCCTCAGAGAGTTTCAGACGAGCAGCAGGTGAAAGAAGAAGAAGAAACACCTTCAGGGATTTCTGTCCAACTCTGAGAGAAACACAGAAACACAGAAAGACTGCCTCCTACTGGCAGCTGGAGTAATGACAGCATGTGTCCCAGCCTTCTCTCTGAGCGTCGAGGTAAACGCTCTCTCCTTCATTGTTCAGAGGAGAAACATTAGAAACTTTATTTTACACTTTATTTTACACTTTATTTTACAATACTGGGATAAAAAAGCACGTTAGTGATTTAACCTTCATGTTGATCCATCATCATCATCATCATCATCATCAGTTTTCTGTCAGAGCTTCAATCACAGGATGGAAAATATAAAAGAAATACAACAAGAGTGGAGACATTAAAAAAAAACTGCTCTACAAAAATAAAAACCTGTAAAAATGTCACAAATATAAAATAAAATAAACTTTATAGATAATTCTATAACAAAAACACACAATGTGTTTAAAAGAAGCTAATTTAGTCCTGCTTCATCCTGGTGTCTCAGATTATTTAAATACTTCTTCATCTAATTCACAAAACTGTCAATTATTTTATTTAAATAAAAAAACTAAAATGTAAAACTTTAGGAAATAAAAGTGTTTAAAGTCGTGTTTCGTGGATTAATGCCGAACTCTTTCCTCCTGTGCCTTTTCAGAAAAACACGGACAGAGGATTAAAATCATCTCCTGGATTAAAACCATCTCCTGGATTAAGATCATCTCCTGGATTAAAATCATCTCCTGGATTAAAACCATCTCCTGGATTAAGATCATCTCCTGGATTAAGATCATCTCCTGGATTAAAATCATCTCCTGGATTAAGATCATCTCCTGGATTAAAATCATCTCCTGGATTAAAACCATCTCCTGGATTAAGATCATCTCCTGGATTAAAATCATCTCCTGGATTAAAACCATCTCCTGGATTAAGATCATCTCCTGGATTAAGATCATCTCCTGGATTAAAATCATCTCCTGGATTAAGATCATCTCCTGGATTAAAATCATCTCCTGGATTAAAATCATCTCCTGGATTAAGATCATCTCCTGGACTCAGAGGAAGGTTAGCGTCAGACTCTTGATCACCTGCTCTAAATCAAACCTGCGTTCCCCTGTAATAAATAAAGTAAATAATAAAATATTAAATAATAGATAAATACGTTGATGCGGGTCACTTTTAGGCCTCCGACTCCGTTTTCATTCAGAAGCTTTAAGGTTGTTTTTAAATGATCAGTCAGTCTGGAACCTTCCTCTGCTCTTCAGTGTCGGACCGTCACAGTCTCACCGGAGTCTGAGTCCATTTCTGAGCTGATCGTCCGTTCGCTGAGTTCACGCTCCTCTCTCACCTCTAATACTTATATTTTTATAATGTTATTATATTATTATATTATTATTATTATATTATTATATAATTAATATATTATTATTATTGTTATCATGAGCTCACACACTTTAGGAAATGTTCTGTTAGTTTGAGGATTTACTGCAGCTAATGTCAAAATGTTCATGAGTCAGCGCTTCAGCGACGTCAGGAACGAGCCGTTCAGGTGAGTGTGTGTGTGTGTGTGTGTGTGTGTGTGTGTGTGTGTGTGTGTGTGTGTGTGTGTGTGCTGCTCCTCTGTAAAGCGGTGCAGATCCTCTTTTAGTTGATTTAAACGGTGTAAATAAAAAACGACTAACTAAAGTGAGTTTAGAACCATCAGGTCCTCTCAGGCTCACAGGTGAGAGAGTGAGTGTAAGTGAACGGATTATTTTCAGGTTTTAACGGTTTGTTTGTTCGGGTTTGTTACAGAGAGGGTCTGAAGTCACACGGATGATTGTGGAGTTTTTATTTACAAACACAGAGAAAAAAACACCAAAAAAAGGACATTTATGGACGTCAGGAAATTCCTCAAAAACAAACAATGAATGACCCCGCCCCCCCGTCAGTTAACTCCAAACTTCGCCAATAACTCGGTAAAACACGTCATTTAAAGTATTTTTGTCTGTTTGAAGCAGCAGAGAGGAGGTGTGGAGGAGAAACGAGGAGAACCTTCAGCTCTCCTTCCAGCACCTGAACAATCTGAGAGTTTCTCAAACTCAGATTAAGACGGACTAACATGTTTACGTGACCTTCAGCTGTCCGGTCTTTATCGGAATAAGGCGATAATTCGGTTTTCTCGAGTGTCGTGGAAACGGACTGAGTGATTTCTGATTCAGTCCAGTTGTCGTTTCTATGCAGCGATTCCCACTCCAGAGTCATGTGACTGACCTGTCGGACATAGTCGGTTTGTTCGATGGTTAACCACGGCGAGCTGATGTTCCTCTCATGGCGGCCATCGTCCGTTATTATCGCTTTGACGACTCTTAATTTACAAACCAGATCCTCCCGCCGTCTGAACCTGACCCGGGTCACATGATGAGCTCAGAGTCGGTGTTGGTCACTGTAGCGGCGGTTCGGTTTGATGGAGGGGGTTCTTTCTGTAATCTGATTGGATGACAGCTGTTAGGAAGGGTCAGAGGGGCGGTCTTACCGTCAGCTCGTCCGGCCCTGAACCCCCCCCCCCCTCCTGGCCCGGTGTACCTGACCCCCCCAACAACCCGAACATCCCGCCGTATCTCCGGCTGAATCACATTCCTCCGTTTGGCCGCCACAAAGGGAGGACTGTTTGATGGCGGCTCAGCTCTGGTTCAGGTATTCCCCCTCTGATTAGGAACCTGAGCCTCACAGACCCCCCGCACCTCCCCCCGAGCCCTTTATTACCCCCCCCACAGACCCCTCCCCCCCGCAGTGAAAGGGTCTCTCAGGCCGGAGCTGCTGGTGTTTGTTGGCGTGGACTCTGGTACTGCTCGCCATGATCCGTCCGTCTGATCTGTCCGAAAAAAACAACAAACAGACGAGGATCACCAAAACCAGGGAGTCCACTCAGACCAGGACCTCAGAGTCCTGTTAGGAGAAAAACCCGCAGAGACCTTCAGAGAGCGTCTTTCTGTTGGTCCATGAAGGTCCAGGTCCTGGATCAGTAAAATCCTCAGACCCTTAAAAACCTCCGTTAATCTCTGAGATTCAAACTCCAGAAAAATAAACAAAAGAGATTTTTTATTTTTAATCTGAATCTGGAGTTTAGGCCAGATGATAAACGAGTAAAAACAGAGAGTGAGGAAGGATAATCTGAACAAATTTAAACCTTTAATCTGAATTATTTTAAACCTTTAATCTGAATTATTTTAAAACTTTAATCTGAATAATTTAAGAGTTTAATCTGAATTATTTTAAACCTTTAATCTGAATAAATTTAAACCTTTAATCTGAATAAATTTAAACCTTTAATCTGAATAAATTTAAACCTTTAATCTGAATTATTTTAAACCTTTAATCTGAATTATTTTAAACCTTTAATCTGAATTACCTTAAACCTTTAATCTGAATTATTTTAAACCTTTAATCTGAATTACCTTAAACCTTTAATCTGAATTATTTTAAACCTTTAATCTGAATTATTTTAAACCTTTAATCTGAATAAATTTAAACCTTTAATCTGAATTATTTTAAACCTTTAATCTGAATAAATTTAAACCTTTAATCTGAATTATTTTAAACCTTTAATCTGAATTATTTTAAACCTTTAATCTAAATAAATTTAAACCTTTAATGTGAATTATTTTAAAAACTTTAATCTGGATTATTTTAAAAATGTAATCTGGATTATTTTTTGTCCTTTAAAGAAACACAGAGGATTTCTGGACTTTTCCACCTTTTCTCTGTAAAAGTCTTTAATTAAACTGTAACATCAGCATTAAAGACATCTAAACCATCTTATTATTATTATTATTATTGTTAATTTTATTTTTTCTAAATTATTATTGTTGTTTTTTCTCACTTGTGCTGAATCATCAGTTAATCTGAATTATTTTAAAGACGGTTGTTTAATCCTAATCTCCTCCTCTGACGTTTGCTCTGTTTGCTGTTTGAGGAAGACTGTTGATGGAACATCTATATTATAGATATATATTCATACAGTAGATATTAATATAGATCTATGAGACAGAAAAACTGAAGAATCTAAAAATATCATCCTGTCCTGTTTTTAATTCAAAATCTTTGACCTTCAAAATAAAAGTCTAAATACTTAAAAATGTGGTTTAATCCCACGTACAGCAGCTCTGTGTGTGTGTGTTTATTTTTCGACAAACTCTCTGAGGATCTGAGTTTATTTCATCAGGATCATTTTAGAGGAAGACATCTAGGTTCATATTCTAGAACAAAAACAGGCAGAGGATCAAACTTCAGGACTTTATGAACTCATTTAAATTCACTTTTTTAACTTTTTAAATTTTTAAACTTTTCTTTATAAACTTTTTAAACTTTTCTAACTGGATGTTTCTCAGTGTTCGGCGCTGAAGTCTCCCTCGGACTGATCTCTGAAACTGAAGTTAAAACACCTACTGTTGTTTTTCACACGGACGGACGGATGGCGGCGGCGGCGGTGGTCGGCTCGTTCAGGTCGGCTCTCCTCTCCGGCTGCCACGGGACGCTCCTTCGGTCCAGAGGTATTTATGCCGGAACATTCTGCTGAAGGAGGGATGAAGGGGTGAGGATGGGTGAGGGAAGGAAGGCGGGAAGGAAGGATGAGAAAGCCAAACCAAAACACGGCGTGATGGAGTGTAAGCAGTTCCATGTGTCCGTACGGAGGAGTGATCGCCCCGTCAGCCTCAGCCCTCTCTCTCTCTCTCTCTCTCTCTCTCTCTCTCTCTCTCGCCCTCCCTCCCCCTCTCTCTCTCTCTCTACCTGCCCCTCCGTCCCGCTAAAGTCACGGTAAAAAAGCTGGACAAGTTGTTTGGAGTCAGTTCACTCGTCCCGGGCTGCGTCCTCCTCTTCTTCTTCTTCGTGTGTTTTCGGCGAGGATGATGATGGTGGCGATAAAGGAGATCGAGTCCTAATTATACCCCAGGAGGGAAAAAAGGGGGAGCAGCGAGGAGCCGAGGAGCACAGCGATGCGGAAAAAAGGCTCATCATTCTGCTGGGCTGTGTGTGTGTGAGTGTGTGTGTGTGTGCGCGTGTGTGTGAGGGGGTGTGTGTTTCCTCTCTCTGAGCAGATGACTGCCGCTCACCTTGCCACGGGGTCTGCATGAGATTGGTTCATTGTCAAGGAGCCTTTTTTTTTTTTTTACCCATGATTCCATATGGTACGGAGCGGGCTACATGTTGCCCAACATGCCAGTGCAAATGTTTTCTCAATTAGGCGTCTTATCTGCGGCGGCGAGCGAGCGCGGCTGCATCAGATGAAGCTTGCTGACAGCGTGATGGCAGCGAAAACCTCGGAAGGATCCATCAAATGGCAGCTCTGCTACGACATCTCAGCCAGGACCTGGTGGATGGTAAGTTGGCACATTTTCTCCTTTTTTTTCTTCTTCTTTTTTTTTTTTACTCTCCCACTAAAGAAGAAGAAGAAGGAGAAGAAGAAGAGGAAGACGGCTCCCTCCTCCTCTCCTCTCCTCCCGTCGTCTTCTCCTTCTTCTTCTTCTCTTGGACCTGCGTTTCTCTCCTGGACTTCTGACTCTCTCTGACTCTTTGTAGTTTTTATCGGCCCCCCCGATGTTTTCCTCTCCGTGGCGTCCCGTTATCGGACGGGTGCCAGCTGGGCTCTTCGGTGGCGGTGGCGGTGGCGGTGGCTGGCTGTCGTGCGGCTGAGCTCCCCTCCTCTTCCTCGGCTCGCTCTCTCTCTCTCTTGTTGCGTCTAATTAGGAGGAAACTTTGTGAAAACACAGAAATCGCTCTTTTGTCTGCGGAGAGGAACATCGCGCTCGCCTCCCCGGCTCTGACACATCTCCGCCGCTGTGGCAATTACGGCGCACCAGGGAGCTAACACCCCTTCTGCCGGCTCGTCGGTGGTGTCCCGGGACGCGGCGGGGGCTCGGGCCGCAGCGCCGGGACACATCAAGCAGCTTGTTGTGGTCAGCGAGGCCAGGCGACCTTTGACACCCCCGTCACCGCCGCTGTGGTGGCTGTGAGAATAAAGAGGGGGGTGGGAGAGGGGGGCGCGGTGCGAGCGGAGCGGGGGGAAGCTGGCGGGCAGACGGGGGCGGTTTGGTGACTCTGCTGAGGGGCAAGGAGGGGGTCCGGGGGAAGTTTTGGTCCCTCACAATAGTCTTTTGTGGCCGAGCGCTCCAAATGAGGCAGAGAGATGAAAGAGCGCCGAGTTCATTAGAGGACGCCTCATTATTGCTGCCGCCGTCACACTCAGCAACACAGCGGCGCCCGGCCCGGCCCGGCTCGGCTCAGGTCAGCACGGTCCAGCCGGGACTCGGGGCCGCGCCGCAGCGTTCAGGTGCTGCAGGTTCCTCCGGCGGGTTAAAGGAGTTGTGTTGCTGAAGAGACAAAGACGGCTTTCTCCTCCGTAACAAGAGCGTCAACTTTGAGAATTCCACCCGGTCGAACCCGAACCGCCCTCACAGACCCCCGCGCACACACACACACACACACACACACACACACACACACACACACACACACACACACTCACACACACTTTCACTGAGCCGTCCGGCAGCAGAAGGACGGCGGTGGTCAGCCGGCGGACGATGATGGAGGGTTTTTGAGGACTGTGTGTGTGTTTGTGTGTGTGTGTGTGTGTGTGTGTGTGTGTGTGTGTGTGTGTGTGTGTGTGTGTGTGTGTCAGTCAGTGGGTGGTAGTTTTGTCCGCAGTGGTTTTTGTGTTTGAGGGTCTGGCTCAGAGTTTGGTTGTTTTAGTTTGTCTCTGGTTTGTTTGTTGTTTTTGGTTTTTTGTTTTGTTGTTTTTGTTGTTTTTGTTGTTTTTTTTGTTTTTGTTGTTTAAAAAGTTTTGAGTAAATTTAATTTCATCGTTTGTTAAATTTCAGTCTAAAGTCAGTTTAAGTTCACAGCAGACGTTCACATAAAAATAAGTATTTCCAGCCTCTGAAATCACTGAAACTGTAAATGTTTTTAATTTTAATATTTAAAATGATCTGTTTTCAAATCGTTTTAAATGTTTTTAATTATCTGTAAACTGCGGAGAGCTCGTGAGTCTGAAACTCTTTCAGGTCTTTAAATGTTGTTTGTTTTTAGTTGTAAATTTCTGTCACAAACTTTATAAAAATAAAAAAAGATAAACTTCTTAAATGTTCAGTTTGTTGTTTTAGGACTAAAAACCAAAAATCAAACTAATTATTTTAAAAAGTTTTAGATTCAAAAATTAAAAACAGTTTTTTTTTTTTTTAAATGTGTTTCTTAGATTCTCAGATATTAGTGTGTTTTATAATAATTATTCTGATGTTATTTTATTGTTTTTTAAATACTGATTATTTCTGATGTAATTTGTGACAAACGGCTGCAGCAGGACGAGTTTCTGCTCCTCCTGCTGATGAGTGATAATTAAACATAAAACACAATAATCTGATGAATAATGATATAATATGATCTAAAACACAATAATCAGAATCAAGTGTGTGATTGAGATGTCCGTGCAGAGCGGCGGCGGCGGTGGCGGTGGGGGGTAATGAGTGGAGCAGGACCCGTCCGGGCGTCACGGTCGGAGCGAGGCGCAGCAGAAAAAGGTTAAAGCGTCCGAACGCACAAAGAGGATTATCAGGTTTTTTTTAAAGCAGCTGGAGCGTTTTTGTTTTTTTACTGAGAGGTCGTTATCATCATTAAAACATCTGAAGCTGCTTCACCGCCACATTCCTCCTCTTTCATTGGTTAGTTCTGATTTATGAAAGCTGAATTATCGACCTCCGTGTTCGTTTACACTGAAGCCATAAAAAACCATGTTTGAAGGAGTTTTTATAAGAACCAATTCTCTTTAATTTGACTGAAATATAAAAGCTGTAAAAACCCAGAAAGAAGCATCACTGCGTTTTTAAAATAGAATTTAATTCAGAAAAACACTTTTAATCTGAATTTTATAGATTTTATTAATTCTCTCATTTCTAAACTTCTTTAAACCCAAAAACTCCGACTCCTCCGTCTGTCCGACCGACCGCTCCTGAACGAGTCTGTGGAGCCGGTTAACTCGTTAAATCCTCCGCAGGAAAGACTCAGATCCTTTTAACGCAGCGGCGTGAAGAGAGGAGGAGGAGGAGGAGGAGGAGGAGAGAGACTTTAAATAAATAAAAACCCGCTCACAGTTTGTCTGAAAAGAAAAAATTAATTCTGATATAAAATAAATGTAAAAAAAAACAAAAACTGAATTTTCCTCCAAATCGTGACGGTGGAAAATTATTTCATTAGATTTTACTGAGAGCAGATTTTTGAATGACAAACGCTGGTGTGTGTGTGTGTGTGTGTGTGTGTGCGTGTGTGTGTGCACGTCTTTGTGTGTGTGTGTGTGTGGGAGGAGGGTCCGCTTGC